ACATATTATTTGCTAACTTTAGTTTACAGTTTACCTTTATTTATCTATTTATATCTCTAGCTCTTTATTAGCAAATTCTAACTTTAATATAATATTTACTTTTGTTGTCGTTATTTGATTGCTATAAATATTTTTTATATCGATGTATTTTAAAACACTTTTTTATTAATAAAATTATATATTATTTGTATTTTTGCTTATTATATGCTTATAGTTTTATAAATGTCGATTTATATCTAGATTCTATTTAGATTAAAAATCAAATAAAACTACATTGTTTTTTCAAATAAAACACGACTGAACAAAATTAAACATGATATATTTGATTGACTGCTATTTTGCTTGAATTTGAGAGCTTTTGAATTGATTTTAATCTGAAATACAGATATTTTGTTCGTTTTACTCAATATTTGAGTGAAGTTTTATTAAATCAATTTTTTGGTCAGAGAATAAAGTTATATAAAATATATAATAAATAATACTTTTTGTCTTCCATTAAAGTATTATATCTATAATTGAATTTAAATTCCTCTAATATTTTATGTTTTACAATAAAAACAAAAAAATAATTTAATAAAACTTCAATCAATATCAATAATTTTGTGTTTTTACATTATTATATTAGACGATATGTAATGTAATGTCTGTATATGTAATGTGACATCACTAATGTCTATGATTTTAATATAAAAGATTATAATACTATAGATACTATTAGAAATTAACAATATAACAAATTATTATAATATATTAAATAACCAACCATCATTAACAAAAGGCATTCAATAATATGTATATAAAACTATCTATTATATAAAAGGATACATTATAATCAAGATACATTATATGATTGCATATTATGTAATAACAAAATCTTTATATAATAGTATTAATAGCACACAAAACGCTTGTAATAATAATTATTGAAAATTCAACATAATTTTTAGCATAACATCAAATTGACATAACATTTAAACGTAAACTAATAGATGTTTAATGATATAAATTTTGTAAAATATGTAATATATTATATGAATGTTATTAAAACGTATAGTACAATGTATAACAATATTATATAATAGGAAATTGATTGATTTTTATTTAAAAGTTTTGGAGATTTATTATTTATTGCCATTTTAAACATTTTAATTTAAAAATTCAGAATTTATGATAGAATTGTATGGAATTTTTTCTTTGAGTTTTTCAAAAATATAATCATTAAATATATCACTGGATTTCAAGACTTTCTTTGAATCAATTCTATTCACTAAACATTTTTAGAAATCCAATACAAATATACAATCGGTTGAAAAATTGGTCGAAAAATTCATTTGAAAAGTGCTTTTTCTCTCTAATATTCGTCTATCGGTTAAGTAATTTCAGGGGGAAAATAGTGTGGAAAAGATTTTGTGAAAAGTAAAGTATTGAGAGAATAATTGAGTTCACAAATGGATAACCTTAACACTTGAGATATCCGTCCGACTCGTCTAACTTACTTTTACAGACACTATGTATGAGTCTATCTATCAATTGGTTTCGTGGAGTTTTATCTTCAGATTAAAAATTTCAAGAAATACTCAATTTTTATTAACGAAGAAAAATGGGTTTATAGTATACTTTATACATATGGTGTATATGTATTGAAAATCATTATATTTAGCAATATTCACAGTAAACGAATTTTTTGTGAAATGACATTATATACAGTACTGTATAAAGTATGTTACAGTATATATAAATATGGTATTCAGAAAAGCAATGATTTTCAATTTATTATTTGCAACTTTTTGAAAACTTATATTTTCAATGACTTTAAAGTACTACCCTAAAAACCCACAGATAAGCCTACCCGCGTATAAACCGGATCATAAAATTTTAAAAGTAAAATGTTCCCACAGATAAGCCGGTACCTATGTATAAGCCGAATTTAATATAACATTAATTTTAAAACTTAATTTTTGGGACATACTGGTTTACGTTTTTAAGTCTTATTAGTAATTGACTAGTTATCTAATTAAGTGTCTGTTGAAAATGTGATTTTAAATGTGATATAATTAGAGATGTTAGAAGTGAAATTTTGGGAAAGTTTAAGGGTCTCACTGAACATTAAGGCTAAATTTTCAATCACTCTATATTAGCGACATTTAATATTGCAAATTATATTGCACATATTTACTATACAAATTACTAATTTGTGTAATTTAATCTAAATTAATTCTTATTATGTAAAAATAATTTATTTAAATACTAATTACAATACCTTATTTATCGTATCAGTATATTACAGTATTAGTTTGTAGAATCGAAATTATGAATTTACATGTTTTAAGTAAAATATTCATAGAATTGACAGCTTTGGTTATTTGAATTAAAAATTAAAATTGTTTTTAATTAAAATATTTTATGAATAAATATATCCATAAATAAGCCGAACCCACAGATAAGCCGATTTTCTAATTTTTTCATAAAATGCTCTTTTTTCATCAGATAAGCCGCGGCGTATCTGTGGGTTTTTAGGGTACTTATCAAGAAAAATATGGTTTGAAATGTTGAGTAAATAAATAAATAAGGAGATATTGCCTTAAAATGCTATCTTCATAACTTATAATAAAATACAATAAGTATATTTATTATACAGTAATATGAATTTGCTTAAAAATAATAATTGATGATTAAATTCTCAATTTAATGGTAACATTAATATATAGTAAATCTGTAACACAATTACTTAATCACTGTCTTTAACCAGAGATTGTATTTGATCAAGTTTGTTCGAAGGTTTGGAACAATCATCTAACATTATACAAAATATTTTAATTGGTACATAATTAATAAATAGTTATGTTATACTATAGAAGTTTTTAATGCATATTTTAATATCTATAATAATAATGACAATTGTTATTTTTAATCATTTATTGATATAGGAATTTCAATTGTAGAATTCAAAATCAATTTATAATATATTTGGGAATGAATATAGTATTTATTTTTAATGAATGCAATTTGAATATATTAAATATTTCTCAGACCATTACTGCAATGCCATCATTAGTTTTATAGATCATCCAAAAAATGTGAGTTTGATATTATAATACAATCTGAGAATAACAATCAAAAATAATGACTTGGTTAACAATTCTGTATATAAACCACATTTTATTATGCATTTTAAAAATCAATTTTCTATTTATACAAAGTATTCATTATATTAATTCATTGAAACACTTTATTTAATTTAGTATTGGAAACCAAACTCTAGTAAAAATTCTTATTTATTATTATAGTTACCAAAATGTATGACAAGTTATTATGTGGGTTATGTTCATTTAATTATTTCAAAATATTACATACAGTATTATGGTAATTTTATTTATAGCGTTTTGCAAACTTATTTTTAAAAAATAAAAGATTTTATAATTTTTCATTTAAAACTTCAATAGTTTATTTAAAAATATTCTATAGATGTTTATTTTCTATATAATTAATTTTAAGAATGTTAGAAATATTTATAAAAATATTACATAAAATCTACATAATAAGATATTAGACCATTATCATAACAGAATCAGAACATTATTATAAAAATAAATGTACATATCAGAGCGTTTTACCAAACATTTACTAAAACAATTACTTGATAACATGTCTCGTGTTAAATGAAAACTATAATAATTCTCTATATTTTAGTTTATAAATTATAATATCGATTTAATGGCTAATTATAATGAGTAAACATTCATTAATCAAATTCAGTGAATATTCTGTAGTAAAAGTCATTTATATTAGCAAAACACTTATAACACTAATATAATAGTAATATATCAATATTTATAAATATTAAAACATAACGTTATGTGTCATATTTTATTATACCAGTTATTATATAATATTATTATAGTTATAAAATTATTACAATTTTATAATGACTTTTAAGCAGTGTTTGCTTTTCACAGAATTTAAATTAGGCCTGCTTTACAATTGAAATCTATTAATCAATCATGTTAATTTAATATGCGATTCCATAACAATATGAGATTAGTAAAATGATAAATCATTAAAATAACTAAAATTTTTGTTTTAAAAATTAATTTATAATAATTTCTCAATGTTTTCAAATTGTCAATAATATATTGTTTGAATAGTTGTGTGTTTTGGTAAAAATAAATGCCATGACTTGAGTTTTGACTTAATGTTTGTTCGCATCAATATTTGCAGAATATATTGACATTTTGTTTTTGTGAGACAATTATTGTCTCCGTATATACCGTACAATAAATAGAGATCTGCACTCATTATGAGATCAACACAAGCGATAGTTTACCAAAAACTTTTGGGCATTTATCGCCCTAAAGCTATATTTCATATAATCTTATAATAATGTCTGAAAGTGTGAGAACTCTATGTGAGGAAAGGAAAAGCAGAAAATAAAAGTTATTAAAGTTATAAATATATAACAGTAATAATTTGTGACTTTTTTGGTATATATTTTTTCAGTGCTTTAAGGATTTGTCGCTAACTATCAATAGATTGTAATTTAATTGTTATGTCGTTTATAGAGAAACAGTAGACTTATTGAACTGAAAATATATTTTTGCGTTTCATCCGACTTTATTTGATTATATTTCTAAAATTTAGTTTTCATTTTCATTTGCAAACCAGTTATCAGTTGATACGTCTGTAAAAACTTTTTAAAATAATGAATTATTTAAATATTTAGACATTTAAACAAAAGTAGAATTAAATGATAATTTTTGTTGTTTTGCTTATTATAAGAGAAAATATTGTGTTTGAAATAATACATTATAATTAAGAGAATTTCGCATTTATTTGGCTCTGACGTAAAGCATGAAAAGTTAGTAATAAGGGATTAGCTTTCATTTATTTTAAACTCAAATAGAATTGAATTAAAGTAAAAATTACAATTATTAAATAAATTGGAGTTTAGTTATAAAGATTAACTTATTTTATTTATCTTTCAATTCATTACTAAATTCAATGTCTTTTTATAAATCATTTACAGAAAAAAGTCGCCAAAGAATCCAATAATAAACGAGAGTTTATGAATACATGAGAACAATAGTGAGAGAAAAGGACAACAATTTCCTGACGACATATCACAAGACAAGACAACAACACATCGAGACTTATATCGCAATCAATCCTATAATACAAACAACTATTTGAAGCATATCTACCTCTAGTGAGAGAGCGGTTGCCTTTCATTGAGAATACATTGCAATCAATTGGGAATAATGACAGAGGAGTCGTATAACATCCGTTTGGTCACTTTGGGAGGCGTTTCTGTTGGCAAAAGTGCTATTCTCAAGGTATGTATCGGTATATCGCTGTGTGCAGTAATGGCCACATCTCTTGCCGTCAAATCCAATATAGAAATCTCTTATTTTATTCATTCGTTCACATAATTATCAAATATTTATTCACAGAATGCATTCCCATTACTTATAATAGAAAAGTTGTTTCTATCAAACAAAAAGTTTCGCGATTATTATTCTGTCATAAGTTATCGCATATATAGATCTTTAATTAATGTAACTTTAATTATATAGTATTTCATTACAAATATTATTACTGTTTATTACAGAGATTTTTGTTCAACACATTCAATGAGAAGCATATGGCGACTGTCGAGGACTTATTCACCAAAGACTTCAATTTGGGAACAATGACTCTAAAGGTTTGCTTTTGCTTTAAATTTTAACAAAATAATTGGCATTTATTTTTTTTTGGGTCTTTTCATTCAATTAAGTAGTATTTTCTAAATACTAACAGAAATATGTGTTAAAGTTGTGTAACTATTTTCGTTATTTCTATTAATCGATTGCCTTATGTTTTTGTTTCCAATAATTAATACAATAATCTCTTCCTCTTTATTGTGTGAAGCGTTTTGTTATATAACTAATAATAATCGCAAACTTGAATCTCAGGTCGACTTTTTGGACACTGAGGGAGACATGCAGTTCCCGGCGATGAGACGGCTGTCGATCGCCAACGCACAGGCATTTATGCTCGTCTATAGGTATGGATTGGGGAAACGATTTTCCTTTTATATACAATTATATGATGAATAAGTGAAGCAAAAGTTTTGGTTCAATGAATTGATTTGGATTTTTTATGTTTGCCAAAAAAGTATTGACAAATTGAATACTTTCGATATAATCAAGACTTGCTTTGAAGAGATTAAAGAAGTGAGGGCTGACTTTCAGGTAAATCAATTCACTAATCATATCGACTCCAGTTTGCACACAAACAGCTCAAATGTCTTTCTCTATCTCTCCCTATTGTCTATAGGATATACCCATTATTTTTGTAGGCAATAAAAGTGATCTCTCGGATGAATTCAAAGAAGTGCCCAAAGAAGATGTCGCCGAATGGGTCAGTACTAGAGCTGCAGCTCTTCTTTTCGTTCATATAATTAATTGTTATTCTATTGAATCGAGAGATTTATTTCTCCTTTGACTTAACGTTAAAACAAATATCTTTTAGGATTTCTCTACCATAACATCAATTTAACATTTGCTCTCATTCTGAGCCAAATTATTGCAATTCTTTGCTCCTATAAAACTGTGGAGATATTTATTTGTTATTTATTTCGTTTTATAAATAAAATTTCGATAATATTATACGTTTAGAGTAAATGAAGATTAAGTATTATTTAATAAAATAAACACAAAAATCATTGCAAATGATTGATGGGTTGAGTAATTGTTTTTAAGGAAACAGTTATTATAAAATTCCATTAAATAAACGACAATTAAATTGAATCCACAACTAAAAGGAGCGGTGGATGTAATTTATAGCTAGATTTCTGTTATTTTTAATGGATTTAAGTTCATAACTAATTGTATTTTTATTTTATACAAACATTATAAACACATTATTTCAACGATATAATTATTTGAATTCTGTTTTTTCGGTAAATTAATCTCATTTGATTCAAAAAATTAATTTAAGTAAATTTTGTTTTTTAAATTGGCCTATAATTTACACGTAATACTAATACTTTACATGAAATTACATAATTAATTAATGTATTTGTTAAAAATGTGTAGGTTTTCTGTGAATTGCCAAAATTACGAACAAAAGTATGTTATAAATGATAAATTTTACTAACGTATTAAAATCATGATTAAAAACTCATTTTTGAGTTAATACTATATTATCCAAAATCGATGCAAACATTAGGTTATGGAGTGTTCGGCAAAAAACAACACAAACGTTAAGGAGATATTCAAAGCGTTTCTACAATTGGCTCGAATACCGTTGCCGTCGGACGAGGGTCTAAGGCGCCGGTCGTCAGCTCAGGCCCGAGTGCCCAACGGTAAGCGATTCGCAGGCAATACGGGTCTAACGCCTAATCACGCTCTCGGAGACGAAGAGACCGCACAGAGGCTGAAGCCTCGGAGCAGGAGTTTGATTAGGAGGTCGTCTAAGAAAGCGAATAAAATCAAAGAACCGACGAGTGATGCCGACGACTGCGCTATTTCCTGATTTCTCTCCTCATTAAAAGCCATCGCAAACCCATATATACTGTATATACTGAACACATCTGTATATATATTTCCGTCATTGTATTAATCCGACGATATTTTCTTAATGAGGGAACAATTCGTATTTGTATTGTGTATATAATGTTAAAACGGATTAAAAGTGAACATTTAATCGAAAACAGTATACAATTATAAACTTCAGGGCAAAACAAAATAAGTAGATTTCACATCACAGTGTTTTCTTTGACCAGAAAAACATTTTGAAGAATACAATTATTTGTAGAGTAAATATAGTTTTAAAAAATATTTAACACAATACATATCATACAGATATCAATAGCAGTGCTTTGAATGTGAATTACGGCTATATTTAAGATAACATTTTAGTAAATGTTTCATAAATTTCTTATAAATGAGTAAACAATTATATTTCATATAATATTTATAAATAACAATAAGAGGTCATTAACTACCTGTAAATTTAACTGATATTATAAATAATGTCTTAAAACAAAAAACATTACAAATATTCGTACAATTTTTGCAAAAAGACTGGAAATATTGAATATATCTAATATACGTTAATTAAAATTAAATCTCTGTAATAAGTATTGTTAATAATGTTTGTTTGCATTGTTTTAGAATTTAATGTTAAAATAGTGCACTCGCTTTGAGTATAAAACTTTATTTATTTAATAATTTAGTCAAACATCAATTAATTTATAATTTTACAATTTAATGTTACAAATTAATTGATTGAGAGAATATTCATAAAATGTACATAATATGATAATATCACTAATATTCATAACTATGTATAACTAATTACTTGTTATTTAATCTCATTTATCCAATAAATTCCAGTCTCTTTTGCGTTCATAAAAAATAAAACAAAAAGGTTTTTAATAAATTAGAATTTAAATTAATGATAACATACTCGTAGATAAATGCTATAAAATTCAAGTAATTTTAGTTTAATTTTGATAATTATTAGTTGAAAATGTCGGCAGCTTTTAATTTATTAAACAATTTTTTGTTTGCCTTTAATTTATTTATAACTATTTTGAGTCTA